CAGGGGCCGCCGGCAGCCCGCTGCCACCTGCTTAATAGCATGGCAGCCACGGGTGTCGAGCTGCTGCTTCCTTTGCCTCCTGCCTAATTCCGAGGCTCAAAATTAACAGCGGGAGCAGCAGGCAGGACGCTTCCAACTCTCCTCTCTGAGTCACCATTTTGCTTTTTATAGGGAACAAGGAGGTGGGGATGGGCCAAGCGATGTCACTTCCTGAGCCCCTCCTCCTAGGGTACCATTTGTACACTGAGCCAGATCCCTGGACGAGGGGGGGCAGAGCAGGTTTCGGGGTGGGGAGCTGAGGAATGGCACCCAAGGGAGCCCTAACCCCTCAGAACAAGGCCTCGTGCAGGACGGGGCCCAAGGCTGGCAGAGCGGGGGCGAGAAGGCGGCACCGAGGCCTGGCAGGGACTCGATTGAACAGACTCCTAAAAGCCAGCACTTACTTCTATAATTTCAATGCAGGCTCCCTTCGGGGAAGGGGGGGGAAGAGAAGACTGTAGGGAAGTCCAGCTGCGGTTAACCCCTTTGGGTGCCAGCACCACGCAGGTTCCAGAGCCCACGCACAGACACCCCTTCCCTGGACGCAGGGCAGCACCTCTGAAAGGCCCCTGGTCAAACCCCACCAGTGGGGTCTCTCCTGCAGCAGCTCCTGGCTGGGCCCGTCCCATCACCTGCTCAGATATTACTTCTTCCAGGGTGTCTTCCCTGGCGTCCGGGCTCAGAACTGCTACAGCTCGTGTGCCTCTGTGGATCCTGCTCATTTGCCCCTAAACCCTGGGGGCAGGAACTGGGTGTCTCAGTCATCACTGTGTGCCCAGCACCCAAGGGCCGACATGCAGCAGGGCCTCGGGAAGTGTGCGTGAAGGGAATGAATGAGCGGAGGAACGCAGTGCCCCTCTCAGGTCTGAGGCTTGAGCCAAGTTCTCCACTGCGGCCCGGCCCCTCCTCCTCTGTCATAACATACCAGCCCCTGGGCGGTCAACAGCCTGAGAATGGTGTCAACAGGTCACCAGGGCTCCTGGCCACGGCCACACTCTGTGCAATCTGGCCCTTTGGCAGCTGAGAGCTTCCCCAGCCTCGCTGCACCTGCTCTCTCCGACTTCCTCTCCAGTCCCCGTGCTGACAGCCCATTAAGCTGTCAGGGGACATGGCTATTATTTTTTCCCCAGGATAGGCACCCATGTGGAGAACCACAGAACCTAGTGACCCAGTCACTGAGCTGTGTGTATGCCATGTACCCGGGAGACAGGGTCCACGGCCCCGAAGGACAGAAGCCTATGTCTGAGGCTGGCAGGGAGTGAGCCAGCTCCGCTATTTCCAGGGATTAGGAGGAAAAAGAGGAACCGCAGCATCCAGTCTGCCCGAGGCTGGCACTGTGAGGGGGCCTGGCTGTTTGCCGAGACCTGCTGATTTTGGAAAAGCACAGGGAGGACATGAAACATCGTGTTGACCTGCCATCTCTCCTCCAGGAGGCTCCAGGCTGCCCTATTACTCCTGGAGTCAAGGCCGGGGTGTTAGCTGTGGTGAACCCTGGCCTGCTCCGATTCCAGCAGGCCACGCGGACTCTCCTATACGCTGGCCAATTCCCAGGGGTCACAGGACCAGATCCCTCACTCTCAAGACCTTTCCCAAGGGCAGAAGTAGAAAGGACAACAGGAAAGGGGGCATGGCTTGCCTCTACCACATAGCCTGGAGCTGGCTGGGCCACCTCTGGACTTCTTTTATATAAGAGGGAAAAAATGCCTGTTATTTAAATTACTGTTATTTCATTTTTACGTTATATGCAGTCAAACCTAATTGTCACTGACCCAGATGGTTTTCCCTGACATTCTGTCTGGGTGTTTTTCCTACTGCCTTCACTGTTCCTTCTCAATCTCCTTGGTGGAATCCTCTTTCTTTGCCCACCCTTTAAAAATTGGCATTCCAGCCTTGCCAGTGTGGCTCAGTGGTTGAGCATCAATCCATGCACCAAGAGGTCACCGAATTGATTCCCCGTCAGGGCACATACCTGGGTTGCAGGCTCGATCCCCAGTAGGGGGCATACAGGAGGCAGCCAATTGATGATGTTTTTTTCTCTCTCTCCCTCTTCCTTGCTCTCTCTCTAAAATCAATAAAAACATATTATTTAAAACGTTGTATTCCTTATATATCCTTACTATCAAATACTGCTCAGCCTAAAAAGAGACAAACTACTGATACATGCAACAACAGAAATGACTCTTACAAACTCCTACAGACTCTCACACTAAGTGAAACAAGCCAGACACAAAAGAGCATATCCTGTATGGTTCCACTTACATGAAGTTCTACAACAGACAAAGCTAATCTATGGTTGAAAAAAAGTAAAAATAGTGGTTGCCTCTGGCAGTAGGGTAGGGTCAGGAGTTTACTATAATGGGCACAGGGAACTTTCTGGAATGATGGAAATGTTCTGTATCTTGACAGGGATTTGGGGTACACAGGTGGATTCATTCATCAAATACTACACTTAAGATTTTTGCATTTCACTAAATGATGAACTCTAGTTAACAATATGCATGCTTATGTGTTGAAGCAAAGTGCACTGATGTCAGCAACTTACTCTGAAACACATAAAAAATAAGATGGGTTGATGTTTAGAGGGATGGATAGATGTGTGATAAAGCAAGTACAGAAAAATGATAATTATATAGACTCTAGATGATGGGTATGTGGGTGTTCACTGTACAATTCTTTAAACTTTAACATATGTTTGAAATTTTTCATAATAAAATGGTGGAGAAAACTTGGTGTTCCCCAGGATTCTGTCACTCCTGCTCTGCTCCCTCTCCCAAATCTTATTTACATTCCAGGGTGAGGTCTGGGCTGCAGACCCATCTCTCTGTTTCCTGAACATCTCTACCTTCTGTGCCAGATCCCTCAGGTTGGAAACCTAGGAGTTGTTTCAGATTCCTCCCTCTTCCTGCTCTTCTACACCCTGAACTGGCCCCACTCCCCATCCTCCTCACCAACTCTTATGAGGACAATTCCAACACTCTCTCCCCTGTTCAGAATTTAACAGTTCCCCATTCACTTCAAAGTACAGCCCAAACCCCTCAGTTCCAGGCCTTTCATGGTCACCCGATTCTACCTTTACAGGGTCATGTTCTGCTGCCCTCTAATACCAGACATCGTCTCGGTCCCTGTAGTGGGTCGAATAGTAGTCCCCAAATGTATATGTCCCAATCCTAACCTTAGTACCTGTGAATGTGACTTTATTTGAGAAAAAGGGCTTTTCAGATGTAATTAAGTTAAGGCTCTTGAGATGATATTATCCTAGATTAACTGAGTGGATCCTAAATCTGACGATGTGTCCTTATAGGAAACAGAAGGGGAGCAAACAGACACACAGAAGAAGGCCATGTGAAGCTGGAGGCAGAGATTGTACTTACGCTGCCAAAACCAAGGAATGCATGGAGTCACCAGATGTTGGAAGAGGCAAGCAAGAATTCTCCCCCGAGAGCCTTGGCCAAGAGCATGACCCTGCCAACACTGTGATTTTAGACTCTTGCCTCCAAACCGTGAGAAAATAAATTCCTATTGTTTTAGGCCACAAGTTTGTGATTCTTTTTTTTTTTTAATGGCAGCCCTATGAAATTAATACAGTCCCCAAACAGACAACACTGTTTCCCACCTCTGGACCTTTGCACATGCTGTCCTTATACTTAGAATACCCTCTTCACCCCTGTCCACCCAGTGAAATTCTATTTAGCCTTCAAGTCCAGCTCAGTTGCAACCTTCTCCTATGAACCTCATGTCTCCTGAATAAAGCACTTTTGCAAATCAATGAGAAACTTTCTAAAGGAGTTAGAGAAATAAACAGAAAATTAAGAAGAGAACTACAAATGCATATATACATATAAATGTTAGCCTCTCTTGTAATCAAAGAAAATGCAAACTTGTGCTTTTTGCAATTTTTCTATCAAATCAGCAAGGATAAAACAAACGCCTAGAGTTGTCAAGGAACAGGCACTCTCAGAAACTCTTGGAGGGTATTGTACAAGTGCCACAACTTTTCTGGAGTCAACTTGGTAACTTGTATCAAAAGCTTTAATAGCTGGTACAGCTTTTAC